CTGGATCACTACCGTAGGCACATATCGACTTGGGGGAGGACAAGTCGCTCTTTCGCTACTTCCCGTTGTCTTATTGTCTTAGTAATTGCTCTACAAGGGTTGACAGGTATTCTTCACAACAGCTCCAAAAATCTACTTGACGGCTCGACACGACGATGTGAAGTAGCGAAAGACCGATATGGAGAACGTAGATATGTAATTCTGGAGCTGATTTGTGATTTCTTGGTTGATATGAAGAACGGTGAAAACATATTTCATGCAGTTCGTTTTTCAGGGACGAAGTTCGATAAGCAGCTTACTTTAGGAAAGTTTGAAAACAAGCGAGAGACAAACATTTCAAATAAGTGAGCGCTTTGCTATGTCAAACAACACTTGAGCTTTTCAGAATTAAAGCACTTCAACCAAGCAAAGGGACAAATGAAGTGTTGATCTACATTAACGAATATCAAATCTAAACCGGAGAAAGAACAGCAAAGATTTCTATAATTTCCGCACCTAAACGAATCCCATTGAAATTATGCGGCAGTTCTGTTGGGCGGGTAGCACAAGTCAAGATGCCACAGAAAAAGGTAATCGAGTTGGTAAAAAAGCCCCACAAAAAGTTGCAGAATCCGTGTTCCAAGATTTTTTGGTTAAAGTAATCACCAGAAACATTGTAATTGCTGAGCTCTCCCAGCAAACCACGAAGCAAGAATTTTCCTCAGCAATATACAAAGTAAGAACGACAAGTCACTCAGAAAAACGTCAAAATGAAAAATTTTATTGTCAAAGTACCAATTCGAATGAGAGTAGTCCTCCTAGAAAATAACGCGCTCCATTGAAAGAAGAATGCGCGGCGCTGCCGCGACGCGCCTCCACTCATTTTTCCTCGGGCACTATTCAGCTCGTGCTCCTCTCCCGTGCGTGCGTTTTCACTTTGCTCTTTTTTTCCATGGCAGCAGTTTTTATATAACTCCATAGTTGAGCTGCTTCACTATTACCACATGTTAAGGAGAGGCCCATAATAATTAGTTTGTGTGGGAATTGCGCGTGTATGAGTCAGTTTGTTCACTGTAAGGCTTTTGATTTTTGTTTAGCTAAAAGCTTTGAAGTTACCGGCTGTGTTTCGTTACGACTGTAGCATTCTCTTTTTCTGTGTAATACAGTGTCGTGGTAATAATCATTCGGCTTCTTCCTCAAGGTCACTTGAAGTACGACGCAGTGTCAGATTTGCATGGCTTGTAAGCTTAAAGCCACGTCGCGGGTTCAGATGGGTCCCACATAATAATGGCAAGATGGTGGATAACTCAAAAGTGGAGAAAGAGTGGAAAAATTCGTCCAAAGTGCGTCATAAGAGCCTCATGCTGAACCGCGCTTATATGAGCATAATTTAGGGCGTAGGGAAAGCGTGCTCGGGGCGAGCTCTCATTTCCTGGTATCGACTCTTTTTCATTATTACTTACTTTACTCTTACCATTGGGAATGGAAGGAATTAGTACCGGAACAGCCGTATCTGAGCCTTTGGAAACGAAAGTTGGGTGTTATGTGGGGCAGAGGGCAGGGTGAGGCATTACCCTTGTCATAAGCGGATAGGTAGTTATCACGTAGTTTTGAGCCGCAACATTGCTATATCCTCAATGCTTGCGGGTAGGACTACCTTGACTAATGATTGCTTCTTCTCACCAATTGAACGCGAAACGTGCTTTCAAGCAAAATTATAACGTTTGAAATTTGATTGTTTTATACGGCTGCCCACTCGGAAATTAGGGGTGGCAAGCCGAAGTCTTCCTACTAAGTGTGCTTGTAAACTGAAGTGCGAGCAGCATGACTTGGGCGAATATAGTCATTGTCGGACTCTTATTGCTAATATTGTTTGAATGGCTGATACGTGCAGGGTTACTAAGTTACAGAGCATCCTATTTATTCGATACTGTCTTTTACAGCAATTTTTGGGCCGTTTTAACCTTGATTAGTGTACGAAAACTGCATTTTTTTCCCTAATCAATGATTGAAGGTTGTTCATTATTGCTACGAACTTCAGCGTCTGTTTGGCTTTGGTTTACATACTCTCTCACTGTAGGGTGTGACCGCGCGGCTGCGTTTGGCACGGTGCCCACCCATTTTCCACAAATTATTGAAGTGAGCAAAGGTCAAGGTAACATACGTTCCCGCCAATCTTTTCCGGCAACTACTGTTTGCTCACTTCAACAGTTAGTGGAAAACGGCTTCACCCTGCCAAACGCAGCCGCATTCACCCTCCCTTTTATCCGTCCCGGACGAGAGTATGTGTCTGGTATTGTTTACTTGTGATTGCCCCTCGCAAGGTAAAAAAAAACTGGACGTAAGGTAATGACTTGTGGATTTCCCTAGGATAATCAAACGCTATTTTTAGAAGATGGTACCTGGTGATTTTGAGGCCGATGATGTTATATCATTAAGAAAGCTTACCACAGATCAGCTTATAGAGCGGCTACTCCATTTGAAGGTAAACCTAAAGCTTTTTGAACCCTACTGTTAGCTCGGTGCGAGTAAAAACGATTTCGAGTCCTTCATTTCCGTATTATTCAGAGCATTCACGAGAAAGATGCCAAGGATTTCGAAGAGTACAAGGCAAGCAGTTTGGAGATGGAGACGATCATGGAAAGGGAGATCGAAGATGCGCAACGTGAAGCCAAAGCAGCAACGGCTAAACTTCACCTCTTGACCGTGGAGGCTGAACGTGCTCACGTAGGTTTTTTCCAGCCTAGCAACCAAACTTAAGGAATTCTTGAAATCTATTGCTAACCGCCCTTGTACATGTATCTCGGCCTCATTTCAATTTTTTTCTCTTATCAATCAATACCAGTGAATTCTAACCGCTGATAACCTTGAGAGGGGCGCACCTGTGCTTGTCAGCATCTCAAATCCTGTACACTGCATGTGAATACCGGACAACCTTATCAACACCCTGTATGCTTTGCCAGCACCTGTCAAATGTCCTGTGAACTCCTGCAAAACCTGCCAGCATCACCGAACAAGTTTTGAATGAAAATGGAGAAACAGCTTCCGAACTGTGTTAGTGTCCTTTCGCTATATTACAGAGTATACAGAACAGGAATTCACCGGACTTGCTGCGTGAGCTGTAAAAGATAAAAGAAAACAAATACACAATCACACATTCACAATCACTTGCTGGTGAGGTACCCCCCCCTCCCCTGCCCACTCTTCCTCACCCTCGGGTTAGTGGCGCCAGCGTGGCGTGCAGCCTTGGAACATAATAAATGGCCTGGGAAACTGAGCATGGAGAAACGATTCGCCTTCTCACGCATGGCGCATAGCGCCGACGAGTCCGCGACGGGTTGAATTTGGAGCGTGGGATACGTTAAGTTGGGTTTTTATTTCTTCTAATGAATCTTTAGCAATCTAGTTCTCGTTGTTGCCAGTTGTCAGAGGTTTGCAACTGGCTACTATGTGTCTAAATGTGATCTGTAGCATTGACATCGGCCTTGAGCCTGCGTATGCGATGGCCTTATTAAAGGAAACCCTACCCTCTTCATCCTTCCAATTTTCTTGATCATAGTTCAAAAGTTCATTCATTTTCATTTATTACTTTCTTATTTCAGAGCAAAAACGAAGCAGAAAAGCGTGAATTTCTCAAAATCGAGGAAGCCTTACGTCGTGAGGTAAGCTCGTGTTTCTTTCGTTCTGCTTTTGCATTTATGCGATCGCACTGCGTATTATCACGGCTTTCAAACGAGTTGGTGTCGCTGAACATGTAATTATGAGCGAATGTTACTTGTCGTTGACGTGAATAGGAAAGTTGTCTTGCAATATCGTTTGGATGCAGCTGTTCATCATAGCAACTGCATTGTTTGCGCCGGCGAGAAATGAATTTGCTTTGGTAATAGGTGGGTGCATAGGTGGTATTCAAATATTCATGGGTGCTGGCGTCCGTGCTTGTGAAACTAGTACGTTACAATGGTTCTGCGACTGACCAAGCGTTTTTCATTTTGGACTAGAATAAACGTGAGGACGAATAATATCAAGCTCCTGATGAAGTCAGTATGCTCTGGTTATGTTTTCTCTATGAAAATAACAAAAAGTATGTGTGACAACTATGGGTTGTTATTTCCTTGGAGACGGAGTTGTGCGCGTACTGCGTTGTGAAGGAGCGAAGTATAAAGGCAGTTGGCACAACGAATCTCTAAGACGTGTAGGATTAATAGGCCTGACAGGACGGAATTCCGCGCCCCTGAGCAGGCGCTGCGTAGCGCCTTTTCCAAGAAGGTACCCTTATAAGGCCTATCAAGCTGCAACATACCGACCCGGATGCACCACCGCGCCCGCCTGCCCACAAATAAAGACCGTACTTGATGCTCTTTCTCGATTGCTTCAGCTAACCATAAATAAGTAATATATGGAGGGAAGAGTTTTGTGTGAAGCGGCTACGGTGTTATATGGTATATGAGTACATACAGCCGAATCTACCGTAGAGGTTATTGGCACACTGCCAACGGAAACTCACTTGCTCGCCGAACTTGCTTTCTGAATCGTGTAGAAAGAGGCTTTTTTTTGCAGATTTTTTTTGACCCTTTCGCTTCGTTTTTCCGCCACTTTCCCGCTATATAGCGCTCTGCTAGCATTTTGGACCGACTGCCAAATTATCATGCCTTATACCTTTGAGAATGTTTCTAATTGCGCAGTTGTGAATTAACCACTTTGTTCGAAAGACTTCACAGGTCTCCACTTTATGGCTCGACACGTCGATGGGAAGTAACGAGAACGCGAAATTCCCCCCCCCCGTCCTCCCTTCTATCGAATCGCGCCAATTCAGTTTCCGATCCAATACCCATGCTACTTGCTCGCCTACTAGTAATAAACTCCCTAGTTATCCAAGTTGTGAGGTTAATTTTGACTTCGTATTCGTTGCGTATACCTAGGAGTGCAGAATGGGCGTCTTTTCGCGTGTATTTGATTTGTCACTTTTCTAATTGTTATAGTGATTTTAGTTTCGCTTTTACACATGCACCAAAATTCGGGATAGAGAAAATTGCTATTTTTACTAGACGTTTCATTATTGAATGTTGGTGCATGAGTGATCTTGTATGCAAAAATTTTGATATGGAAAGGAGCTTTCTACCGAATGAATCAGTGGCAGATAAAGAAACTCCGTTGTTGAAGTATACGCGTCAGTCATTTATGCATTCAGTCATTCTAGAGCTCAATGACTCGTGAGCTTAAATCACCGTTAGCACTAACATTTTCCGGAAGGGACATTATTGATCCCCGCGAATTTTCCGTTGTTTTCTTGGTTGAGATCAATCTCTCCTAGAGCCATTCACAGTTCCGGAAATTCGCTCAGCGATAACAGTTTCCCTACACTCACGTTTACTGTTAGCCTAGGGGTACGGAAAGGTATTCAGCGTAAGGGTACAGGGTTTCCATGTTCTGTACAGCAACATTGTCAGCGAGCACATCGCTAGATTACGTTCTGCCACGTTTTGAATTTGCTACACTTCATTTTCATCTAAAATAGTCCGAGTGTGTATGATGCAGCATCTCCTAGAAGTATTTCATTTGACATTCCATTTCGCTAATGCAAATACAGCTTGCCGTAGGAATTGCCAACGCATTCCGCTGAATCACATTGTAGTTCTCTACAAATGCTTTTCTATGCGAAAGTGGTGGTGCTTGTTGATGAAAAGTTTATTCTGACATTCACTAGTTGTGAAGTATACGAGTAACAGTTGAAATACATCGTTGCTCCCAGTTTTCATCATTCAAACGGCACACTGGAGGGAATCCCTCCAAGTTCTCTCACATAATCTCAAATTTTAGTTCAAATTCGTGCATGCCTTACTTCCTTATTTTATATCAATTAGCCAAGGCCTGGTCCTGGACTCAGTAGTTGCTGAATCCGAATCATTGGAACGGACAAGTCATCATGCAACTAAAAGTGGGAGCTTGATGAAGGTTCATCGTTGACCGTTAAAGACAAATCCCATGATTGCATATTATGTGTAGTGGCGTTCAATAACGAACCTATTGTCGCTAAGTGACCCTTCAATGAAGAGAAAATCCAAAAAAAATCACAGAGAACACCCAAGGAACCCCTTGGCAGCGTCACCGTACGAGAGCTCCGGTCGTGATCGTTTTATGCCAGGAAGGCCCACTGTACTCACTCATCCTTTGTTCACGTCATCCAATGCTCTCACCATTTAACAAAGAAAAAAAACGAAGAGAGGATGTAAAAAGTGAACTCATAGCAGAAATGAGTCTTTGAGTTTGGTGGGTGGGACAACTAGAAGGCGTCAGAACTGCTACTTATGGGAGCCGTAGCCTCTTCTTTGCTTACTTTGAAGCCACGAAATGGGACAGTTGACCAGACTACTCGAACAAAAGGGAACGCCTGCGAATCGGTTGAGCGCAGGGGCTGCCTTTGAACAGACTATGATCGAACGATTGATAATAGTGCGTCAGTTAACTCTGAGTTGCCATTATGCCTTGCAAACATGTATGTGATGGTCGTGGTAACGAGGCTGTTTTAGAAGCTAGATAGCGAATTTAACAACCAGTAGTGCTGGAGGAGGAAGTGAGTAGATAATCGCAGTGAAACATAGTTTTTAGGATCGGTTTGATTGAGCATTGGAGAGATAACCTCTTCATGAACGGTTACGCGTATAACCGTTATGTAAGCTGAATAAGTACTGATGTTCCTTTTCTTTCAGGTCAAAACCCTCCGCTCCGAACAGGAAGGTAACCGTGCGCGCATTCGTGAGTTAGAGCAGAGAAATGATGACCTCGAACGGCATGAAAGAAATAACCAGCAAGAAGTCGCCGATTTAGAGCGAAAGGTTAGGGATTTTTCCTCTTGCAGTTCGTCCAAGGTTGAGCTATTACGAGCGCTCATTCCGATGTTTCGTTAAGGTAAATGAAATGACCGAAAGGCTTACTCTTTTGGAAAACGAACTGGCCGAGAAACAAACAACTGCAGAGGAAATGTATCGGTTACGGTGAGTATGAAGCTTTTTTCACTTCTATTCTTGAGTTGCCTTGTAGTACAAAATGAGCAAGATGTAAAATTAGCAGTAGATGAGGTAGTATTTACACCTTTTTCTCTATAATCAGGGAGGAAATGCGTGCTGCCGACCGCCCCCTTCTCATGGTTGGACCCCTTAGAGCAGAACGTGTAGATGACACTCCAGAGGAACCGACACCTATAGAACAACAGAAACCTGGTTTGGAGGAAGTGACTCCAACTATTGTATCTTCTGCTGTGATCACCGAGAAAAGTAACGGAGTTTCTGTTGTTAAAATCTCGCCCAAGGATTCCAATGGCAACACAGGCTCTGAGGTGCGTTTTTGCTTTTTAAGTGGCTGAGTGAGTGATTGATGGTGTTATTAATCACAGTCTTAGTGGGTTTTCAAGTGTTTTATTAATCCCTTTGCATTACTAACTGTATTACATTTTCAGTATTATTGGTTTCAGTTACCCCCTCTGTTTACTATACTTTGTTCAATTTTTGTTTCTTAGTGGAGTCAGCAGTCATAGGAGGTTGAGTTTCGTAGGCGGCGTACTTGACATCGCATCGGATATGCCTCCGATGCGCAATCAAGGCGGCGTCTCACTCAATTGTCGCACCATTGAACTTCATTATCGAGCGCAACCACACTCAGCGCGCAACATGCCTTTAAGGGTTTTTGCTGGGCCCTAACTATTGGTCTTCCTGAATATGCTGAGTGTGAAGGTGTTTTCTGAGCGTCTATTTTCAAGGACATTTGTGGCGAAAGGGTTTGGCATTATAGGACGACGGGCACAGGATGAGGATATCTCGGCGCGGTTCTACTTGTAAGGGGCACGAAATGTCACTTTTCGGAACTCTTAAAGCCACCTTGTGGGGACTTGTGAAATCCCTTAACCCAGAGTGCGCCATTTATACCGCCCCAGACGAGTTTACAGGCCTCATCAATGTGTTAATTGAAATGAATCTCTCTAAAGCTACTAGTGAACGTGCGCGATGCTTCTCCCAAGCGGAACAACATCGCCAATTGTCTATACCTTTTATTCATTTCTATACCCTAAAGATGTGGTTTTTGTCGAACACAGTGAAATAATCACACGACTTTCTGATAATAGGGAACTACGACTCGGGACCTGCGTACCTTCTAGGCGGTCCTTGCTGTGTGCCCAGGGCACGCTATCGTTGTGATGATCACAACAGGGGGCTCGTATATTGACCGCGAGGGAGGAGGGTCGTATTTGGTGTTGTTATGAGAGGGATTTTCAAGGATCTATACAACATTATTTCCGATAGTTGAAAATGGTAGTTGAATCCTGACGACCTCTCCCCCCCCCGCTCGACAGCAAGTTTATTGTGGAGAAAAACCCAAAATTTTTCGGGGACTTTGGGAAAAACTGGGGAAAAATTGACGGAAAATTGTTGGCTGAAAAAGTGAAAATTTCCTGGAAAAATGGAAAAAGTGGTAGGGAGTTGGGAGAATCTAGGAAAGTGGTAGATAGCATGGGGAGGGGGGATCGTATTTTTCAGGAAATGATCTCAACGCGATGGCGCCATGCTCTGCATGTGCCTGGTGAATGGGTTCGCAGCTATAGAAGGGTGCCTTTTACTCCTTCCAAAGTGCTTGGAAACTTGGCTAGAAAATAGCGATAACTGGGTGATGTCTCATATTGCGCCCGCGCTATAGCCAATGGGCAGCATTTGCGTAGATCCAAATCTCGCAGCGCACACGCATCAGAGACAGTAAACATTTGGAAATGAGGGACAAAAATGAAAAAAAGAGCGTTCGCCTATGGTGAAACATGGGGTTGGTCTAGCTGCAGCGCGGACGGTGTTGAGAGACAGCACCCTTGTTCAGCACTCTATTCCTGTTTCCAATCACTTACGAGCAGAGAAAGTGGCACACTGCTGCAACTGCCTACCCATTATCCCCAAAAACGGCAAGGACCAGGATTTGCGGAGGTGAGTGTATTGAGTTTTTCGAAGAGGTACTGTAAGCGGTCGCAGCTGCGCTGCGAACCCATTTTCCTCGCATATGGTACAGAAAGGAACAGGCTCCGTGGAGGTGTGTACAGCTTCTCTTCAAAGTTAAAATGGAGTAACCAACGATTTTCTGTCAATTCAGAGCGCCATACAAATACCAGTTTGGTTTCCTTGGAGGGTATGTGCGGCAAGACAATGATTGAATTCTAATCTACATTATTAGAAACTTGAACGCCCATTCAATACATGACTAGTGTCACTAGAATCTTTACAAAATCTAGCGCGGCGTGCATTGATTTCGATGCTCGTTTTCTGAATTGTCTTTTTACTGGATAATCGCTTATACAAGTTATTTCTGTCAGGAGCGTCTTGCTTTCAGTTCATTGATATCAGACTCTCTAACCCCTAACAGCTTGGGTTGTGGTTGGTTTGATTTTTTTCCTCACAAATCCCAGTGTTCAGTGTGCGTTAAACTAAGCGTTTTGCCGTTGCAATGTATCTTTTAATTTTTTCCTATGTCGGTTATCCGTGTGCAATTAATTCAATTAACTTCTAATTTTCCAGATCTCGATGACGCCTTTAGCAGTTACTGGAACAGATGGCAAAGGCTTTGCAAGTTGTGTGAACAGGATTGTCAAAGATCTGTTGGTGAAAGTAGATCGACTAGAAGGCATTCTTACCGGTCTTCGGGTACAGCATGTGAGGCGTTAAAACAAGCTTTCGGTTGAAATCCTACATTATAGTGCCTGTGATTGTATAGAAATATCTGCTATCTGTCTGATATATTCCAATCTCCAGTGCAACGACGTTGTAGAGCTGCGTTTATACTTGCGATTGTAAGAGTAGTGAAACTGGAAGAATCATTATCCGCGAAAAGGTACCCTCTATCTCCCAGAGATGGAGAGGGCGTGGCTGCGTTTTTTATTCGAACGCGGTGTGGCAACACTTTGGTGGGACTTTACGGTTTTATATCAGTCCTAAGGCAGCGTTCAGACTTCGCCCGTAAGCTTGGATTGCGCCTTCGACGCGATCGATGCAGTAGAAAGCATGCGCATTGATCGCGCCGAACGCGCGACTGAAGCGCTGCCATCGTGAACTCTGAAACTAACGCTGCCTAATCATATGTGTCTAGCGCGAGGTAGGATGACAGTTGTTTGAAATAAAAAAAAATTCACGAGAACGCATCCTTCGCCGTGTTCAGATGGAATACGCAGCCACGCTTACATCATCTTGGGGATAAAGTGTAAGCATATCACTGTGCTATTAGAGAATCCGTGAGAAAGAATTAGATACGATCAATAAGTATCTAGTCTGCTTCATGGATTCTTCGATTCCACAGATCGATATGTACCTTTCTTTTTCGTGGACTTTCGGGTTCTCCCAGTTCTCCGACTCTCCTCTTTTCCAGTTCGATAGGTATGAGCACGGCCTGAGTTTGTCCTCAGCATCGTTCGTTAATTGGGAGCTTTAGATGGCTGTATTCTGATAGGATAGCATGATATTTACTCGTTGATAACAGCAATCACTCCTTATGCAGTGCTATTACCCCGATGCATTTGTTGATTGAGGTACTGGCAAGTCCCCAAAAAGTCTGTACACTTGGCCCAATGAGAATTTCTCAGGGAAGTTGCCTTTACTCTGATTCCAGGCGATGTTCCGAGCTTTGAACGCAAAACTTAGTTCCTTCATTGTTTGCTTGTAAATTTTCTTCTGTATTAAAGTCGTATAGTATAATCTATATATGTACAAACTTAGCAAATGATCCTGGCTCATTATATAGATCCATAGCGAGGCTTTTTAATAACTCATTGCCTCGTTGTCCGTTGCTTTCATTGTACCTCATACTGTGGATTTCATGTCCTGTTTAGAGAAATATTGCTCATTATTTAGAGACCCAGTTATAATCGCCATTCGACATATATATTTTCCCCACAGAGTGCCATTAAAATAGAGCTTCCCCGTATGAATTGTCGGCATATCGTGAAAGTCATTGGATTCTGAACCAGCGGCTTTTTGCTGAATCAGATTGGTGAGTGTTGATCGAAAGATTTCGATGCTTGTTTGATCTGGTTCAATGTTGGATGTAGTGGAATGTTCATTGGGTGCTGCTCTATAAAAGTTCACATAGTGTTCTAGTTGGTGTTCTTTGCAAGCTGGTGATAGCCTTTTAGTATCAATGATGAGGCGATAAGCCTGTTTAACATGTAGGTCATAGGGAGCGAGAGCATTCACCCTTGGACCTGCTGAGCAGGTTCAGTTCATATGCAGAAGTTGATTGGTTGGATTTTAAAGTCCTCACTAGATGTTACAATGATCGCGGGGACTGTCTTTTGAGGGATGTCAGACTCAAGCGCAAGGCACGTCCTGCGTATCATTCTAGAATCATTTTGAAATCGGCAGCGGTTTCAAAATGGTTCTAGAATGTACGGAGGAAGTTCTTCTTGCCCATTTGTCATCCGGAAACAAACGAAGAGTTTTTATGTTTTGCCCACGCCCCTAACTGTCTAGGCCGCAAGTTGTTGTAAAGTGATTACTACGTCGGTTACACTATGAAAACTTTTTTCGGGAACTTGGTAAGCAACTATGATAATGGAGTTGTAAGACAGTGCATAGCAAATAGCGTACATTACTGCTGCGAGCGTACCGTCTGTGATCGCATATAGTCGCCCGGGGGGGCGCATTTGGTGAAGGAAATTTTTCGGCACTTCAGCTCGGCTCGATTTTGACGCTCAGTTCGGCGGCGTGCTAGAACTACTACAGGACGCGCCAAAGTTGAGTGGATCTTATGCTGGATAAGCGCTTAGCCCTCAAGACGATGTGAAGTTCAGACGTTTCCGTGCTCAGATCCCCTCCAGTGTTTGAGAAAAATTAAGAGTGCTCTTGATACCGTCCTCTCCGTTATCGAAATTGTACTACAGTAAGCGGCGAATGGTAAAGAAAAAGGGTAGGAATGGTTCGCGCCATCTCAAGCTTAGCGCTCTTCTCACTTCGCCTATGCGAACCAGATGGCTGCACAGTTCTGCTATACCTTCTTGAGCGACATAGAGGCTTTTTTTCCTGAACGGTATTGAAAAACCAGTATGATGCAAGGGGGGAAGGGGGTGATGTAGCGACAAGTGGCGCACTTACCACACGTGTCACCGGTAAAAATCCCAAAGCGGTTCTCGCCCTGGGAAGCCAAGAAACCCCGCCCCTAGAGGACCATATATTGGTACCGGACCCGTCTGGGCGAGATTTAACGCTGACTTGCACATCGGCTGGCCGCTACAGGTTATTGTTAGTTAGACTGCATCGCACTCAATAAACCACTACGCTTCTGAATGGAGGTAGAATGGGTGCCACATCCCAAATGCGGTGGTCAACAGCGAAGGCTTTGACTTTCCATCCTTTAAAATACAGTGGGGAAAGCTGTTGGTCGCTGCATTCATATTGAAGCATGATCAGTGTTGCAAAACCTAATGGTTTCGTGTGAAAGTTAGGAGGATGGCGTCTTGAGGGCGTGGTTGCCGTTTTGCAGCATAGAAAAAACTCTACAGGTGAACTTTGCAGTGACCTTGCGATGTAACGAAGAGATATCAGAAAAATGCGTCTTCGGGATGGATTACTCTTTCTAGGGGGATGCTTTCCTGGGAAACTGTAATGAGTATACTGGTATATGAAAATTTGATTTACTTATTTGACCAGAAACATTTCCTGCTTAGCTCAGTATTTCAAAAATCAAAATCGAAAATCGAGGAAGATGGATGGCTGAACTTGTGATCTTCATGAACACATTGACGGTCGTACCGTTTTTGCTGCGAATCCTGCTTAAGTGCTATGTCTATCCGGATGCGTGCATTGCTGAAAATGCGCAAACATTTGAAACATTTGGAGGGAGAAAGCGGATGCATAGCCGGCAATGCATGCGGCATTCATAGTGTTAACGAACCTACTTTTCCATGGTTTTTTTTCTACCGTAGTTGGGTGGGGGGGGGGAGTGGATGAAGGACTTGCTGGCGCAGTGGCTTAACGCGTCCCAGATCGTTTACAGTCTTGATCGCTGCGGATGGTGTGGTGTCGATGGGCAGGGTTTGGCGCGGCGTCAGCCTCTTTTTCACCGTTTGCAGTCGCTTGCCAGCTTTCAGCTTCATATATGGCGCCTGTATTCAGCGCCTACTTTTCATCAATTTCAGTGTCCCACATTTGGGTGGTCGATGGGTCCATGTTACTGTTCGAGCTCCTGACAATCTTCGCGGTAGGCCTGTTGCGACTGGGTAAATGACCTTAACCTTCCTCCGAAACTACTAGAGTACACTATCAGAAACACCGCAGCTCTCAGGGAGAAGTGCCAGACGGGCGAGTGTCCATTTGAAGTAAGTGAAATCTTGCAGATAAATACAAACTTCGTGTCTTTGTCAAACCAGGTGAAGTCAGGTGGCCTGATGGGAGCGGCTGCGCTGCAGCGTGTGTGCGACCAACACATTCCAAATCGGCGCCCATTTCGCTGGCGTTCACATGTGACCGCGGCTTTTTTCTGTGAGAGACAAGCATGACACATCCACGTGTGTCACGCTGTCCGGAATATGTTGAATAGCGCACTCTGGTTCTAGTTAAACAATAACGATCAACCAGGATGAGAGAAGAAAGCCGCACGAGCGGTATCTATTTGGAGAGCTGGATCGGTAGAGTCTTAGTTTCGCAACACCACTGCTCACGCTCACGGTACAGCATCGTGATGTGTGAAATGGTGGTGTAGGTACGACCCCTTCCGATGGGGGGAGGGGCGACCTTCCCCCTTCCCGAACACCTACCGATCAATTTCCCACTTTTTCCAGTTTTTCACCCAAAGATTTTCCGAGGTTTTCCGTCAAGGGGGGGGTATGTAGCTGATGTGAAACGGGAAAATTTCTTAGATTTTCCCTAACCTCCTAACACTTCCCGGAACTCCCCGGAATCTCCCTAATTTTCTCCCAAAATTGCGCTGTGGAGCCGTAGGGAGGGGCGCTATAGTACAGCGACCAAATACGACTCCCTCCCCCCCCCCTCCGCAGCGGCCAAGTACGACCCCTTCACGTGTTTCACACAATGATGTTGTACCCTGCTCGCGCTGGCTCTTGAGATCCTCGCCTGACGTCACCATGTTGAATAGAATGTAACCTGATATCATATTATGCGTTCTCATGCGTATTCATTTCAAGGAAGCTGCTCTTTTGAATGGACGATGTTGGGGATATGAAAGAAACTGCACCTATGAAAAGAGCTATTCTGCCGAACTTGGTGTACCGAAATGTTCGCCGTCATCCAAACGGTATGCGCACTTATTTGCTCGTTGGTGTGGCATAGTGTCATAGTCTTGTTCACTGCTTACGCGGGGGCGTGTCAGGGGGATTGGATTTGACGGGGCCCCAGCCTGTTCTCTACCAACTTGAAGGTGGGCCCACAGTTTGTGAGAAATGGCTGACGTCACGCCGAACCCGGCACGCCCCAGCATCTGCAGCGAACGAGCCGTAGCTTGCTGTTGTAGTCCTCGCGCTGCGCATTAGACTGCGGTCATTCTTGGCAACTGCGCAGCTACGGTAACATTTCGTTCGCTGCAGGACTGCGCATCAGTTACATTGTGTTATGTATTCGCATTATTTCTCACACTTGCCTTATGCAACGTACGAACAATAAACAATAAACAATCAGTTGTCTGTCGCGCTCTGCAAATTAAGCCTAACAAACGGTCATCCGTCACTTTGCCACCTACCTTCCTACGGAAATGTGACCCGAGCGCGGAAGGTTGGCGGCGACTGTGCAACTTGATTTGACTTTTGATAATCATCCGCATGAGCGTGCAGATTTTTCTCTGATCAGGGTCCCTGAAGAAGACGATCATGTCGAAACACTCGCTTGGGGAGATGGAGTGAATTTTTTTATCTGAGAGCCTCACGAGGTGGAACAATTTTGGGAAAGTTGTGAACCAATTCTAGCCGAGGCTGTGTTGCCCTAGGTCGGCCGCCCCGCAAAGCATGACGGCGATTTTTCACCGCGGGCGAATATGACCGCAGTCCAAATCTTACAACAATCCAAGCAGATAAACGCTCTCAAATAGCGCGTGCCAAGAGTGATCATTGTAAAAGTTTTCTGCCTCAGTATAGAGCCAAACAAGATCCTCTATTTTAGGGAACGTTTCTACAAACAAGCTGATTTTGGATATGTTGCTGAGAGAAGCAATATGCACGATATCTGTTCCTCACAAGATCAGGTCTACTTTTAGTTTTTTTTTCAATTTGCTGTGGAAAATGGATGAAAGGGTGAAGGACTTTTCGGATACTCCAGGAATAAGGTAGAAAGTTGAGGAATTCGGGATGAGGAAGGGGCGAGAGGCGTACTGAAAGGGGAAGTGGGGGAGAGTCGTTTTTTACAAAAATCTCTTTCATTGGCAAACCTGTTTTTTTCCATTTCTCGAGAGTTGGGTGATCGGTGGTCAACTTCTTTGGGAATATGAAAGCTCTGGGTTTCGCACTTTGCGGCAGAATTCGGCAAGCAACGATTGGGACAAGTCGCGTTCAACCTTCTGATTACGATCCTAAGCAGAAGTGCAGTGCATGGCGCATCCCAGAAAGTATTCCTCCTTTATACATAGTTCCTTCATTGAAATTTTCGTCTCAGGGAGGAAGCAGTTTGAGATGTTCGGACGATCTTCGCTATTGCCAGGCGGCCAACATCTTCTTCCATTTCAAGAGTTGGAACGCAAAAAATTCGAAGCGGTAATATTTATGACTAGCTTCACAAACTTATACTTATTCTGGTAAGAATTCTAGATATCGAGAGGATGTGGTCCAGCGTGGCGAAGTTGGTGGTAACTGTGAAAAATTCAACTCCAAGATCTTGAAGGGAAACCTGAACGAGCGCGGCTACTTACGTAGTTGGTATGGCGTTATCATTGTGCTATCCTGCTACTTTCAGGTGTAATTTGAATATTACTAGCTTATCTTATCTCGTGGAAAAGTGGGAGTAACAAAAATCATAATGGTTTAGTCCAAAAATGCTGAATACGAAAAACATAAGATAGGGAATTCAAGATTAGAGGAAGAGTTTGTAGCTAAATCTTGCTTTGATCGAGCGAGAGGCATCCCAAAAGCGGGCATCCTGGCGCTGTTCGGCTGGAAAGAGCCATTTTGTAGCTAGTCTCGTTTGCTGGTTCATGTTAATTAAAAGGTGACTATGGTGAGAATTGCCACAAATGTGGCTCTAAAATGGTGTGAGTACTTTGGCGACAGGAACTAACAGATCCTCACAGCGGCGTGGACTAGCTTCGTCGATATCTTTTAGGTGCCCCTACCATTTGGGTGCCCCTACGAAGCCAAACTTGTCAACGAAGGAGAGTTTCTGGATCGTCCAGGAGGGATCAGAGGTTTGACGGCATGGTACAGCATCGTTGTGTGACACACATGGAGAGGGGGTCATACAATTGCCGCTGTGGAGGGGGGTCGTATTTAGTCGTTTTTGAGAGAGGGGGATCATTTCGACACCCTCTTTCCAGGGGAGGGGAGTCGGGGAGCAGTTCGGCGACGGGGGGGGCATTTTGCACTTTCGTTGCTTCACTAGTTCCGGTTTACAAGTCTCACTCTGGTGAAACCTGTGAACTCTTGTGAAGCTGGAGCAAGCTCGTCAAGCCATCATGGTAAAACCTGTCAACTCGAGAAGAGGCTGTCTAGATGGGTCGACACGTCGATGGGAAGTAGCGAAAATGCAAAATGCCCCGCCTCGCCTCCCATCGCCGAACAGCGCCGAGGGGAGGTCGTACTGACACCACCATTTCAGACATCATGATGCTGTACCCTGTTTGACCGTTGATGGGATTTAGGCTGCGGTGATGAGGCAAAAGTGGCATTACACATGGTGTTTTTATATTGAAAACTGTGTTCTACGTTTTAGAGTTGAGTGTTGAAAATCAGAAGAGTTAAGTGTGCTATGTCAGTCAAACTAGCTAAGATGGTTTTCTGTTCTTGCGCATCTCCGCTGTGTGGATTCCCACCCACTTCGGCCTGTTTATGAAGATATTTGTCGATCAAAATGGACAAGAATCACCTGTTGAGCAGCTGTTAGCAACTGGTTTACATTCGGAATACAGCCTTGTTCAGGGCGGACGAGTTTATACACTTCGAGTCAGTGCCTTCTTTCACTGTGGACGACGAACACTGTGACATAATTTTCGAAAGACCGACAATTGTGATGAAACTGGACGCCTCTGTGAACATGTACCATCACTTCTGCGATTTTGTCAACCTATATGCTTCACAGCACATCAACGGATCATTTAATCAGCAGGTAAGTTGCTAGTGCTACTGCAGGGGGTGCCTGCTGGTTAGGTAGATCGTTTGGTAGGACCCTCTACTCCCTGTACGACCCTTTTGAAACTGTCGAAAAAAAGGCGTCGAGGAACATCCACCATTCCTTACAGCCGCGTCTCTGTAGAAGAAATCCCATCAGCCGCTGGGGAGGGGAGGGGGGGGGGAGAATTTGCAAAATAAGACCCCACGAAATGCGACCCCTTCGCTGGGAATCGTGCGACGTGCTTTGATTTCTATTTCGAGTAGGTTATTGGCGAAGAGGAGGAAGTGCATGTGGCATCAAAAACTATTGAAATATCCCTTCTCCTCGATAAGAATTTCGCTCGACCCAGTTGAAGGCTTACTCCGTTTGGCTCCAGTTTTCCAGTAGCAGAAATCGTCGGCCACTCTGACCAGTTGGGGAGGGAGGGGGAGGGAAAGGAGGAGAAAGAGCTGAAGAGAGGAGTGAGTACTTCAGCGAACGAAGAAACGCTAAAATTTCTCTCTCTCTACATTTCTCAATGACGTGGCCAGTCAGCAATAGACAAAAAACCAAAAGTTTTACAACAAGATAGTTGAAATAGTGACAGGTGGTCAATTTCGCCTCTGTCTCAGGGGAACCAGTAAAATTCCTTTGCGCGTCCAAGGTTGCTGTGTGAGTAGGGGTCAACGAAATGCTAGATAATGAAAGTAGAGCTAGATAACGAGCCACTACTGAACACACCAACACGCAGTCTGAATCAGCTCTCTGAAGATAGAGAACCCCCTTCGCCCAGTACACACACAACCTCACCTACGATCTCCCTCCATGCTAAATTCTACATTTGCCTAGATTTTTCCCAAACTTCTACAGTTTTTCCCGGCCGTTTCCAAAGAATTTCGGGTTTCCCCGCCGAAATTTGGGCTATCGAGCGCGGGGAGAGGAGGGTCGCCCCCGGATTTAACCTATCATTTTCAACTATGAGATTAGTAGTTTGTAGTACTAGCTTGTTGGTTATTGTTAATGGTACAGTATATTTTTGGCCGTCTCCCAGTACGCCGCCCCCGCTTTGTATGCGTCGTGAAACAAAAGCAAATCACCTTCGACAAAATTATACTGCAAGAATCAAATAGCGACCCATCCCCCTCCTTCGCGGTCAAATATACGAACCCTCCCCCCCCACTCGTTGTGACACGACGAATGGCGTGTTGGTAGTGAAACTGCGTTGCTCCAAAATTTTGGCGATCGTAAGCGAATTCTAGTTCGTGGAAGGAAAAGTGCGATGATTTATAAAGTGTGAGTATGAAGAATAGAATGGGCGACCAAAGTCAACCCATCATATTAAAGCGAACATTTCTCAGCGCAGTTGAGTTAAGGGAACATTAGCTGCCTTTCTCTCTACCATCTTCATCGTCCGAACGCTTCAACTGGAGGACGTTGTGAAATACCTGTAAACCAGTGAAACTGATCTCCCAGATCAGTTTTCTGTATATTACTCTGCGGAGCCGACTTGTTTAATCCCTTGTGAGGAAACATTGTCAAGCAGATCTTGTAAATGCAGTGCCACGGCGGTGGGGAGGACCATAGAATTGCAGATGTCACGCGGCGGGCCCGCCCTCCGCATCACCGGCCGGGATATCGCGCCTATTTAATTGTTTATTAGTAGTTTTGCTTGAGAGTGCAAGATGCCACAATCTGGGCCACATAGCACGACAAACAAGACAACAGAAGTTTTGGGAGGGAGCACTTGCACACAGGGGAGGACCCAACACCGGACTCTGCGCCTTTAAGTGCCGGGGGCGGTCGCCGTGTGTGCCTCGCCCGCATCACATACGCGACCTCTTCCGGTGACATCTTATTCATCCCGCAGTGGCCCCGTGTCTTGGACTGGCCTGTTAGAATGAACGCACCCGCAAGGAATATTTTCATCCCGTCGATGTTGTCTGGTGGGACACATTCAGTGGTGGATTCGTTGATTCGTGGTTTGGCGACACGTGGAAAGGCATTTTCTGATTCAAAGCCTGTGGAATTAACTGCGTTGGCTGGCCGTAGGGTATGCTTCAGAAGCGCCATGTTCCCATTACTAGCAAGACAGGCTTTTGGTCTCTATTATAACACTCCACTGGTTAGTTGTAAAACTCGTTCTTCAATTCGTTATTGCAATCAAGCCATTCAGGAAACAGGTTGCCACGGTACAGGACTAATGCATGCGTTTGCTCACCATATTCTACATCGATTACGTATCGAACAGGAGGGGCCTTTGCTTGATAACGTACGGGTGACGATCCTTTCGAGAGGCACCAAGTTCAGGAGAATTCTCAATTTGAATGAGGTAAGAACCAGAGGGAGAGGAGAACATATAGCCGGCGTTACGCTGCTGGAGAGCGCGTTACATTCGAATGTCATCAGCTTGCAATCTTAGTTAGTTTTTGGCTTTCCGTTTACCTCATTCATCTGTGGAGCAAACAGGAGGCATGGCAAATCCGATAGTAATGCACATAGGCACTGACACTTGAGGGTAGATGGCGGCTCACCCACCGCAAAACTACTCCAAATTGTTCGCGTTTATAGTCAATAAAATGGGAACTTTTGCACGATTCAGCAGTTAAATTCCTGCAGCTGGAAGGTCAATATATTGCCCTGCGCCATACTTACAAAATTTCTTAGAAGCACAGTCCACGATAATCATATGGGCGGGACTAGGCCTTCTTCATGCCTTCAGCACCGTATCCTTCTAAGAGGGCAAAGAGGAGGAGCGCACGCGTAGTTCCGCTCAGTGGGAGCACCATATGGTGCTTAGCGGTGCCACTGCTTGTGCGGGCCACCTTGTGAAGATCTATCAATTCCTCTAACTAGCGGGTCACTTCTACAAAATCGCAGCTTCACAAGAGTGATAGGTCTTGTCAAAGTGAGACTTGCTAATCAACAAAGACCAGCAGAAAGAACTGGCAAAAGTGTAGAATGCCCCCTCCCCTGTTTCTCCCCACCTAGCCCGAACATCGCTTCAGCGCAGCAATGAAAGTGGTGCAATTGTAGACCAACTCCGCCCATGCGATAAGCGTGGAGCTGAGGCCTTTTGAATTGGTGAGAGTGAATCGCTGTGCTAGAAAACGACAAGGCGAAAGTGCGGTGTGTTAAACCCGTCGTCACAAATAAGTTAACTCAGGCCTCGAAGATAAGCAATGAAGCGAGGGAGGTTCAAGTTGTGTGCTTCGATGACCGCCCTGCCATGAGTTTGGCTTTGAATCCCTTTCAAAACTTTGCTCTGATTATTTTTGTTTTTTCATTTTTTCATTAGCTACTATTACCGTGTTAATGTAAAACAGACTTGGGCGATTACACAATAGATATCGGTAACACTGCCTTTTATATTTCATGGTTTTATGGATGATGTGTCAAAAAGGGTTACTCTTATGATTTTTAACTGCCATAGAGAGGGAGTTTTTTTACTCAGTCGAAGTACTGGATAGCACGAGGCGAAGGTTTTCGACTCTGTTGTTGTGAATTCAGCATTTTGAAATTCTGGTGGTCAAAAACATGGTCCTTAAATTACGTGAGATTTAATGTGATTGAATGGGAACAATTGGTATCTGACATGCGTACTTTACACAATGAAGGACGTGAGACAGCTAGAGAAACAATGGACCGGATGTGAATGTCACACCAGCTGAGCACGCTCTCGGGATATGTTCACTGTTTGATTTTCTGCAGTGACGTGAGCAAATTCCACGTGCATTTTTCTGGCCATCAATATAGGGGACCCTAACAAATAAAGATGCTGACTGGTTTCTAGGAACGAGTAGTTACGACTACCGTAGTTTCATTGTAATTCAGAAATGAGACCAGAGGTGCTAGCTAATAGTAAGGTCTGGCAGTGTAGAAGAAACCAAAGAGTCGGTCAAAAATTCTCAAACAGGTAATCATTGGGGAGGATGATTCTTGTATAGCTTGCGGCTGAGATGAAGGTCGTTTAGTTGACGTAGCCCCGACAGCTGGTGCCACGCCATAAGCAAGCAGAGGCCAAGTGCTCTAAAAAATATTCAGCTTTCAAATGAAAAATGATAATGATGAAAGTAACATTATAACTATCTAAGCCCCAAATGCTATGTGCATCTGTGGGAGGAGCATGGTTGAGATGGCGAATTCCGTTCCACAAGAATCTTCTTATGTAGGTTTGCCCCCCCCCACCTTTAACGCCAAGAACACTCCAGTTTATTTCAGAACATCCGTGGTATCGCCTCCAGAGTAGAAGGAGTATTCCCTACCTGGTTGGTTGGCACACTGCAGGCTCAGTGAATCCCTGGTGCAAACACCGCCACGGGAGGGGAGACGGTCATGAGAATCGTAATTTGCCGCGCCGTAGTACGCGGCGCACCATCTGACGCTGGGCGCGCGATATTGAATCAGTGCGTCTGTTTCTCGATTGGAGCACTGATACTCATGAAAATCGTTGCATATTTTTTACTTTTCCCTGTTTCCGCCCATATTTCACGTGTTTTCGGCCACTTCCTCCACCGCACATTGCTGCCAAGGCTCCCGATATGGAGCATCAGAAAACTTTAGCATCCTGGTATATCTTTAGGGCAAAAGGCGATACTGTGCCGTGGTGGTGGGCGTGGCCTGCGACGTCGCAGTCTTTGCGTACGAGTTGTTTTATCTCAAGGTTCATTCAAGTTATGAGATAGACCTATCCCATTGCTAGTGGGAGACGGGCAAGAGAATCGTAAATTGCCGCTTCGTCGCGCGCGGCAATGGGCGCGACGTTTCCTTAATTTGCACTACCCTTTCGATTGGAGCATCGGATTTCATGTAGACAAGGACATGGTAGACACTTATGTCTATTTTTGGTCATACATTGTCTATTCTCGACCAATACCACCTAAAATCGTCGTCATTAGCGGCGCGACGTCGCACGCGACGCCCACTGGCGCGGCGAATTACGATTCTCTTGACACATACCCCCAAGGGACAACTACTGTAGCCACTCGCTCGCAACTGGCTCTGTTAACACGTTCCGGACCGCGCGACACACACGGTATGTCATGCATTTGTCTGTATGCGGTGTTCTATTTGATTAGCTGGGCTTTTCTTCCATATTCTAATCTTGTGTAAGCAAGTTCCCTTTTACACAGAATACATCTCTCACACGCGCTTGGGTGAGGGAGTAAATTAGTGATAAACTATTGACGAAAAATTATGAAATGTTCCGAAGATGCACGCAGTACGGCGGTCCGCAGTGTGTTAAACTACACCCAAACCGTATCATCACTTGCCCAGGAATTTAGTTCTCTATACGGAGCTTTTTACCTGCTTGAATCAACCCAACTGACTTTACCGGGTGCTTTCAAAGCTTTTTAAGCCGAACTTAATGGAAAAGAGTGAGCATCAGTAGAAATCAGTAGAAAAGAAACAAAGAAAGCGGTACAAACCCGTTGTCATGGGCAGGGCGATGATGGTAAAGAGGCGGGTAGTTTTGATTTCACGGTATAGCTACATCTTTTTGGAATGCCCTGTTGCTACAATAAGTCGTAGGTTGCCTGTCTTGATGATTCCTAACCGGTTCCAATACTCTAAAAGAAGGCGTGATTCATTAGTGGAAGTGCGTTTAGGAAGGTGTTTTTTTGAAAGGTGCAGTGGACGACTGAAAGGTTTAGCTCTGATCGAGCTAATACACGAGAGCCTCTAATCCACAAGAACTCTTCTTAGCCTTTGAATTGTTCTTCTATATCTTCTGGAAGGAAAAAAAGAGATTAATTTCAGTACAATTTTGACGTCTTCATCAATGCGAGGTTGATTAATCGTAGTATATGCTCTCTTCTTCTGTTGTCTGCACTTTGCGGGTGGTCGAGGGTTTTCAAATGACTTCACAAAGTGTTTTCTTAGGTTACGGAATGACCATAGATTTATTAAGCAATATTCACACATTGTGATATCGCGCGGTCCATTTTTCAGAAGTGACCGAGTGCCCGTGGAATGTGGCGTTGATAGAGGCGTTTTTTGGTGACTATTGTCCACCGATGCGTCTTGGTGGGACTGTCGTAGTCAGAGAATCGATGTCGTGCCATTTAGACTTGCTGCGTTCTCGTGCCGCTAGTCTGCACGCCTATTGAAGCGTTCTCGGTCTCGTCGTCGCTCATATCTCGCACTTGACGCAACTCAATCGGAACCAGTATCTTCTGAAATTGACCAGTATTGCAAGTGTCTGCACGAAATGAGGCTCTTTATGTACAAGGGACTCAGCAAATCAGCAGAAGTACCCCCCCCCAAATTGTGGGCAGAACCCTGTAGCTGTTCGTGGTTATGTGGCCTTGAGATGTTTCCACGCTGCTGATCGCATGGGCGGAGCGAGACCCACCTTCGAGGTGTTCTTTGTTGATTCATTCCCTTTTTTTCATTTCCTTTATCACAGCAAAGAGGAGAGGCGCGCAAAGCAGAAAGGCATTATGGTTGGCTGGCTCCGCCCAGACGATCAGCATGGGCGGCGTGAGATTAGGTGCTTAGTAGTACTGTATTCTTTGCCATTCCTACCTGGGCCTTTCTGTAGGTCAGGACAAAAGTCCTGCGTTCCGGATTATTTCTTTTTGAGCTTAATCGCACCTGATGTCCCAGTTGTGGTTCGCTGAGGAAGTATCCACGAGTGACTTTCTCTTCGCCCAAGGACCGCATATTGTCGTAGAGCACGAATACCGTAATCGCTGCTGCTATCGCTGAAAAGCATTGTTCGAGCAATGACGTGTATAGACCTAATTGCAGCTGATATCGCCACAATCCGATGGGGCGGTTTAGAAGGCGTGAAATGATTTCATCCGCGGCTGCTTTTTCTACCACTAGTGGCCAGTTCAAGTAGAGAACAACCAATGGTAGAAAAGCCGCAGGTGGCATATTTCACACCTCGTGACAACGCTCAACCGCACTGCAACTGTCACCCTAGTTCTGTAATTCACCAGGAAGCAGGATTTTGGAAGTGAGGCGAATCATCCGATAGGGAAGGTTCGATCTAAAATCCCTAAAAAAATGAAGAGTGCGGGTTTTGCTGGTTAGATCCTGTCTCTTCCTTACCTAATTTCAGAAATCGCCGTATTTCTGCATTAGGTAGGTGGGTAGCGGTTAAATGGG